ATTTATTTAACAAATCTTACGTGACCAGAAAAAACAAGCGCGCGCGGAAAAATAGTCTTTGCATTTGCTCACGTCAGCAGCGTACACCCATGGGCAAATGGGGGACGCTAAATTGACCAATCAGAGCGCGCGCTTTACTTTGGTTATGTTATAATGACCAATCAGAGCGCGCGCTTTACTTTGGTTATGTTATAATATTTATTAGTCATGATGAAGATCCGTAGCCTGATTCTTTTTAATACTACAACGTTGAAAAGTGAAGTTGAAAAGGCGATGTTCTTCTTTAAGACAAAATGACTTACTTCAACATTTTAGGCCGATGTAAAAACATGGTTCATTCATTTTAATTGTTAATACACACGTGTAGAGATATGCACAACGGACAGTGAAGATGTAGACGATTTGTAAATGTTTTGTTTCAGAATTAAATGTCGCTTTCTAATAAAATCAGTTTTTGTTCCTCATTAACATTCATATTCTCGATTATCCGAACCCTCAGTTATCCGGACTATTTTGTCTAATCCCAACGAGTCCGGATAATCCAGATTCGACTGTATCTGATTTTCAAATACGTTCACAGTCATGTATTCATCACTTCATGGGTTTATTACGAACCATCGTAAAGACCAGCTCCCAGTTGGCTTATTAGCTCAGTTGGTAGAGCTCTGCACCGGTATCGCAGAGGTCACGCGTTCAAATCTTGTACAGGCCTGAAATTTTTTTTAGGCCTTATTTCTACTACTGCTCAGGTAGTGTTTTAAAATTACTACGAAGATCGCTTTGATATTAATGAAACCCCTGTTTTATGTCTTTGCCTCTGGCTCTCTGTTTGTTTCTGCATCACTTTTCTTTTCACTTTTTAACGTAAATCTTACAGAAGTTTCTTGCGTGTAGAAGTGAGCAACGCCATGCTATTTCAGTCTTTTTTTCCGTCGTGCAAAACTACCTACAGGTGGAAGAAAACTGAACAGCAGTTGTCGAGTAAGGCGGATGGCCAGGGATATGAAACGGATGGCCAGGGGTATGAAACGAATGGCCGATGATATGAAACGGATTGGAATATGCATTTGAATCAATGCAATATGCATGTGAATCATCGCAATATGCACATGAATCAGTGCAATATGCCAAGATGGATGAATCGTGGCATAGCTCATTGTTAAAGAGCGGCACTGAGATTTTGGAAATTAGTTCATACCACACAACCGATTAGTGCTTTTTGCGCGCTGAGTGGCTAGTTTGGAAGTGAATAGCAAATACGATTTGCCTCCAAGCAGTCGATGAGACAAAATCCGGCGCGCGTTGAGAGTTTAATTTCTGACCATTTTTCGGTCTATAGAAAGAAATAAACAAGTTTTTTATATCTGTTTGTTATTTACTATTATTAAAAACTGGATCATTGAATAATGCATTTCAAGACTTTTTATTGGCTTAGCCGT